TACCCACCCATTAAATGTTGGCAATTGGCCACCACCGTCGGATGGTAGCCAGAAGTAGTCAGAATGACGCATGACCGACTGGATCTAGCCAGTCGTGCACTGATTTGGGCTTTTTTGGGCCAGATCCATGGACTGGCGCACGACCATCACATCCAACCAGTCGTGCTCCATTTCAATAGACTTCGACTACCTTCTAGCGATGGTGGCCAACTATCGGGAATATGTGGGTGGGTGGTAGACCTGGCAAAACGGGCGGGTGGGCCGGGTACAGGCCTGGGTCTTACGGGTACGGGTCTAAAACGGGTTGATTTAAACGGGTCCAATATTTTAGACCCACACCCTTCCCTATGCGGGTATGGGTGGACCCGCAGGTGCCCGTACTGTTCACACAAGTTTTAGATTTTTGTAGTTACACCCCAAATCTTCCTAAAATATAAACCCACGTTTTCTCCCAAGTTTTCTCACCAACCAAACAGAAACCCAGAACCTAACTTTATCGATTCTCCTTTCATTCCTCATCAACCAAATAAACCCACATAAAAAAAAAAATAATCTGAAAAACGAAAAAATCTACATAAGAAAAAGCAACAGAAGAAAAGAGAAAAGAACTTTGTCGATTGTCCTTGATGCGCTGACAGTGTAGAGTACAAACGTGGCTAATGATTGATGAGAAACGAAGATAGGAGAAGCGACGACGATGGAATTAGGGATTTCGGTGACGATGAGTTTGAGAGGAGGTTGATGAGAGACAGAGAGAGTGAGTTTGAGTTAGGGCTTTTGCGATTTGGGGCAAAAACATGGGGATGGGATCACTTTAAGAATGGTCTTAAAATTCTCTGAATCTTTGGCTGAAGTTGTAACTGAAGGAGAAGCAACCTGAGAAGCTTCCACAAGCTTTCTTGAAAGTTGGTGGCCTCGATGGAGCTTCCATTAACAGTGATAAGTCTGTATTTGGTAGCGAATCAAAATCGATTTTTTATTTAATTTGATCAAAACTACGAAATAAGCTTTTATATTTACAGGATGATCCCACGGTCTTTGTTTGAACCCTTTTGTCCTGTTCTTGTTACTCCTCGCTTGCTTCTATTTCTTCCTAACTTACCACTTTATTTTTCATCAGTTCACACACAATTACATCTTTCTTCCTCAACTTCCCACTTTCTTTTTCATTAGTTCACCCCACCCATTTGGATTCCTCAATTTTTAATTTCAAGGAATCCTCGCAAAATGAAGGGGAAAGGTGTTCTTTTTTTTTAAAAACAAACGGGCACTCGCGAGTTCCCCGTTTGACCCCTTGGCAAAACGGGTTGGGCCGGGTACGGGTAGAAGAAAAACGGGTCCCAATATTAAAGACCACACCCTAGAGTTTTTACTTGGGTTTGGGTGTGACCCGTGGGTCTAGACCTAGTTTGCTAGGTCTAGTGGGTAGGGTATTTTTGTTAATTATAAACTTTTATTGTTGGAGGTGTTTAGTTACATTAACAAATCTAGGGGTTTAAAAATTTAAATATTTCGGTTGAATAGATATGATTGAATTTGAGAAATTTGAAAAAATATTTTTGGTTAGGATTGGATAGATATGATTGGAATAGGATAGTTTTCTCATTTTATCATTTTTATCTTCCTTAATCAATTTAAATCCTAAATATACGTCAAAGATGAGATTTCTAAAACTGAGAAGACAAACCGCCGATAGAGGTGCCATAGCTGACTAGGCAATGCTGTGACCACCACGACAGATGGAACCGTTCAGGCGAACATGCTCATCGTGCCACATGCCTTTATTCTTTGAGACATGTCTTAAAATCTGAAGTACAATTAATGTCTCTCGAATTGTAATTTTCTTTAATATCATCTAATTTAATATGGTCGCAAAAGGTATAATGACTTTTAAGTGAAAAATGTGTGTCAATGTGTGAGAAACATAATGTCTATCTTTGACTTTGATAAGACTGAAGCGTTTTTGTAACCAATTATACTGGGACAATCTCAAAGGGTGGCCTGACGATTAGAAGGTTTGCTCCCATAATTGACTTCCTGCGTTCAAACAACCACATTACAGTCGCCTATCACATTGTGGTGTTACCTAAAACATTCGGTTTATAGGGGTGTTCAATGGGTCTAGAAGATTAGTGAGGTGTAGATAAACCTAACCGAGACAATCATAAAAAAAATAATAATATGGATAAATACATATCGCCAAACCTGAAGGACGAAATAAAAAGTTATCACAAAGAGGTGAGTGACTGCACAAAGAATCAGAAGGCAAAGAGAAAAATCCAAAGAACAGTACATATTTTGTACACAAAGCTAAAACACTCACTTCTTTAACTTCGGTTTGAGTTTGACATATACTGAGACAACAGCTGCCCATTTCACATGGTTTGTTCAAGGATCAATTAACTCAGATTTAGGTAGTTGTTTTTAGCATCTCAGAGATAGACCCCCATGTGACAACTCATACTATGCTCTCTTCATTGGGTCAATGTCACCTTACCATTTTCCTCGGGAAAATTACAAAAGTTTCTGAGTGAGTAGACAAAAGTTTCAAGAGCTAGCTGCTAATCCAAGCCACCACCCCCCACTTTGTTGTTTTTGTCATAGCCGTCTGTTTCCATTGATTAAAATCTGTCCGCTTCCAAGTTTCTTTTTTTTTCTTCTTTTCAAAAAGAAAAGATAACACTTTTTCCTGGTTGTGAATGGTGATTCATCATTGTAAGTATGTACTGGAACTTGAAGATGAAGAAGAGCTAAGATCAATTCATGTAACTATGAACTGCTTGCTGCCAGATGTGGATAGATTTGAATCCCATCAAAGATTTTTGACATAAGAACTCACATGATGTACAAAGTAACAGCTGAACTTACCAGAAAGTATTTTAATTCAAAAATCTATCAGTAAGATGATGGGTTATACTTCCACTTTCCGTGTCAAAAAAATTTGAAGTCTTGTGTGTCCCTAGCCTTAAAGACTGAATTTATCTGTTAATTGGATTGAAATTTATTTATAAGATGATTGTGAATGATAATTCAAAAGGGTTAATTTTAAAAAGCAAACGACATGCTACCACCCAAGGTTTAGCGAAACCTCGAGTTCATACCTCTTGTTGCTTATTCATTAAATTCGCACCCTTAACTAAACTCGGTTATTAATTTTGAATTTTGACACTGTTGCAATTTACCATCCTACCCTTCAACTTTTTATTTCCTCCAACACACCACCATCACCATCACCAGCCGCCGCCGCCACTAAGACGTAGGCGTTTTTCAGCCTTGTTCCAGCTAGTTTTTCATTCGCAAAATCACCCTCCAACCTCTTCCTGTGTAACCCCTACACCAAAACTCACAAAACCCCTTCACTGTTGCATCTTCCCATCACCAGACAGGCTTGTGCTTGGTTGGGCGCTAGTTGCGGAATTTCCTCAAATCGTTGGTAGGCGTGACTTTGATGGAGATTTTGGGCGGAGGATGATAACCGTGGCCAAAAAATGCCCAACAACCATAACAAAGGAGGATGGGGGGTAGGGGGGGGGGGGGGGGGGGGGGGTCAAAAAGGGTGGAAAAAGGTGCTAAAAAAGTTGTCGTACAATGTTGGGAATGGAACTTGGGCAATAAACGGTGAGTGACGATGGCCGATGAGAGGGTGGGTTTTGTAGAGGCGATGAAGGGGATTTAATTGGTGGCTTCGGGGTGAATTTTCAATGAGGGAATCAACCAGAATTTGGCAGCAAAGTTGAGAGAAAACGCAAACGCCAAGGAGGCCGTTTTCCGGTGATGGGAGGGTGCAACGGAGAAAGGGTTTGGTGGGTTTTAATGTAGGGGTTACAAGGAAGAGGTTGGAGGTGATTTTGGGTAAAAAACCAGCCGGAACAAGGCTGAAAACGTCAGCGGCTTGGTGGTGGTGGCAACTGGATGGTGATGGTGGTTGTGTGGGGGGAAAAGAAGTGAAGGATAGGATGGTAGTAACACAAGTCAGAATTCAAAATTAATTAACGGTGTTAATTTATGAGTGTGAATTTGGAATAAATGGTAGGATTTCACTTAACATCAGGTGGGAACATGTCGTTTGCTCTTTTTAAAATATTGGATGCGTTTGATTTATTATTTTGGATAGGATTTTAGAGATAGTATTGAATAGTTGAATAGGATGATTACTACGAGGTAAAATTTAAAAATTAAAAAAAAACCCCATAGGTTTGCTAATTTAATTAAACACCTCAATATATAAAATTTTTGTAAAATGACAAAAACACTCCCACCCACCCACCCACATTGCTAGATTCTGGCCACCACTGTCAGAATCTGGTTGGAATCTGACGTTACGACACAGACCGGTCAAATCTGGTTAGAAAATGCTAGATCAACGGCCAGATCTGGCCGTCAACAGCCGGAAAATGCCAGATCTTGCCATCGACGATGGCTAGATTGGCAAGTTCCGATTGTTTGTAGGTCGTTGTGACAGATTCCGGCTATCATTGACGGTGATTGCTGGAATCTGGCAACTATAAGTGGGTAGGGGTGTTTTTGTTAATTTTTAATTTTTTTCTGGGGTATTTATTCAAATTAATACTTAAGGAGTCTAAAAGTAATAAAAAAATATAATGGTATTTCTTAAATAATTAAATAAACAAGTATTTTAGGAATAGGATAGAAATATTAAATCAAACTCATCCATTGATTTTGTTGCAACAATGGCAGTATCTGTATTGGGAAATCCAAAACCCCAGAGTCTTAAACCCTAATATTGTCTCTTCTACCTAAAAAGGAATGTTAGATTAATTTATTTATTCTTCTTCAAATGTATCAAACCAAAAGAATCCCATGAAACCAATACCAATAAATAAAATTATCCCAGGGTATTACTTTTTTTTTTTTTCTTTTTTTTAATACTGCTTATCTTTCTGCCATTAACATCCATTGTTGTTCACAGAAGAACCCCAACAGAAGAATTAAAAAAAAAAAAAATACAGACAAAAAGCTATAATCATTCATGAAGGAAATCAAGATTCATTACTTGGTTGTGCTCCATGAGACTTCCGTTCTTGTTCTTGTTCTTGTTCCTTAATCTCTTGAGGTGGTGCCTCTTGTACTACTACCGGCTCCGCTACTGGGATTTCAGAACGGGTCGGGTGCGGGTCGATATTACCATCAAGACAAGAAGAGCATTTCCTTTCAACCCATCCTTCAAAATCGTACTCTCCACGACCCATGACCCGACGACCCGAACACAACCTCCCTATCATGCCCGCTATCACTCCAAGCATAATTATCACTGCCAGCACTGCAATAACAGGCCCAACCGACCCGTGACCCGAACGGGCCGTGTACGCTTGCTGCGTCACCGCCATAGGCGGTGGCTGTTGATCCAGCAGCGGCGGCGTAGACATGTAAAATAATAATAACAACAACCCCACCAAAGAATATATATCAAATGCAAACTCTTGAGGGTTCTTCAGAGGTTTTAGCATGCAAAGACAAAACAAAGAGAGCTAAAAAGCAAATCTTGGAGAGGGGGTTCAGTCAGTTCGGCTACTAAAAATGGCAAAAACAAAAAGAAGAAGAAATATTCAGTGTTAAGAAATGAATAATGGAGTCTGATGAAGTGTTGGGTGAAAAGTGAAGAGGAAAGAAGAGAAAATGAGGGAGTTTAAAACAAAAACAAAAACAAAAACACTTAAAAGAAAACACTTTTTGAAAGAGTAATACCATACCAACATCATTTTCATATAACATTTTTCATATAATATTACATGATAAAATATGATTGGTTAATTTAAAATTAAAATTAAACTTTCATCCAATCATATCTTATTACATAATATTATATGAGAAATATTGTATGAGAATGATGTATGTATTGTATTATTCTTTTTTAAACGAAGTTCTTTCTTTCTTTCTTTCTTCATGATCATTCAGTACAGACAAGAAACTGTTTACAGATAGATTAATAATAGTAAAGCTATAGCTTAATAGCAAAGGAAGAATCACATGATCACAGTTTGACCTACTGAAGCTTTGGAGATTTGAAAGAATATTCAGATTTTTTTTCATGGGAGAATTTCAGAATCATTCCATTTTTTTTTTTTTTCTGTTTTTTTGGTGTAATTTGTAGTTATTGGTGTCTGAAGCTTGAATGAATGTTTTCATGTTCATCTTCTCTTTTTGTCTTCTTTTAAAAAAAAAAAAATTTATATTTTTAATTTTTAATTCATTAATAATTATATTTGCATTTCATTTTAAGATTAGCTTTTTAGGCACAGGAGATAAGTTTGCTTTGCTTTTATCAAAGGTCAAAAGTTTTATCTTTAAAAAAAAAAAAAAGAAAAAAAAAAGCAGCATATTGTATTCAAATAGCAAGTCGGGTTTTTTTTTTAAAAAAAAAATAAGAAAAATAATATTTTCAGTACTTTTTCTTTTATAAGCTTTATCTTTTTGTCACAAGTTTTGACACAGCAGAATGATTTGTGCGGCACTCCAACATCACACTTGAGAGGGGTTAAACCCTACGCGTACATTATTCATCACCTCAAGGTTTATCGGTTTCGTCCTGTCATGGACTCATAAGGGAAACGACTTTAACTCCCGACCAGTTTGTGCAAGGATGGCCTAATCCTTTTTTCATCATCAACTATAAAGAACAACTTTGCACCCCCTCCTCCTAAAGAGTCTTATGAAGCATTGTTGATATGACAAGAGGATACACGCTTGACGTCTCGGCTATCACACCCCACGTGAATGTTTCGTAAAACCGTTCAACCTTGTATGCTCTCCGAACGCTAAAAGGGAAAAGAAAAGCATTGAAGCCATCTCTCAAATATGTGGGATGCCTAACTAATTATAGAGGAAGGCACTAGCTTTGGTTATAATTTAAATGAATAATTAAGGATAGCATAATGGCTTATTAATTATTATATAGTATAGTTATTATAATTAATATTTCTTTTGATGCACGTCTTTAATCTCATCACTTTGACTTTTCCATTTTAGATCAAACACCATTTATTGTTTCATTAATGTATTTTTTTATATTACAAAATTATTAATGATTAGGGACGGAGCTCAATTAATCATCCGGCTCTAAGTAAATCTCTAGTAACCACTCCTATTTGTAACGGAAGTTAATCAAATTTAGGATTTTTTGGATCATATTGTAAGAGTCTCTATTCAACCATGGCAGCAGCACCACTCACTGTTGCATTGAAATTGAACAAAAGGGAATAGGGTAGTGACTTGATCAAAGTCTTGACTTGGGAACCAGCCCCTAATCCCAAAAAAGCCATTGGCATGTTTGGAGGAGAATCAAACTTTGAATAACAGAGAATATTGTCTCTGTCTCTGTCTCTCTCTGCGTCTGTGTGAATGAATGAATGAGGAAGATGACGATGATGATGACGATGGTGATTATGATAGTTCATGAAATAGAATACTTTTGACAGATCCAATTATATAAAAGGGTGCCATTTATGAGTGCTTTTTGAGACAATGACAGAGATCTCAAATGGGTTCAGCCAGCCTCAGGCATCTTACCACCAGCTTTTCTTTTTTATTTCTTTTTTTTTGTTTGAATCCATGCACTCCTTGTCGGCTTCTTTTCTGGACCCTTGTGCAATTCAATTCACTTTTTCTTCTTCTTCTTCTTATTTCAAAGTGGAAATCTATTTATCTTTTAAAAAAATTATGTATGCTTGTTGCTTGACTGGAGGAGTACACAAATTTCTGCAGCTCATGTTAATGGTCTCATGGCCTGCCACTATGACTGTTTTCAAGAGAATTCCCAATAAAACAACCTTTATCTTTATTGAATTTTTTATGTTAATGGAGTGCGGTTTTGTTTTTAACTTATTTTTCTTGGTGATTAGGGTGTCTAGGTCATCTTGAGCACACTTCAAGTAATCTTTTAGGGTCCCAAAGTTGACTAGATAGATCGAACTCATGACCTTTTGAATAATACACGCAAGAGTTCTAGTTGACCGTTGGATGGCCCGACTATGGTTAAGTTATAGCAAGTGTTATTCACTCAAAAATGTGTCTAGCTAGTTAAGTGAATTCAAACTTCAAAAACAAAATCTGAAGGCAATAACTTTTTCTGAGCAATGACAACATAAGCTATTGCACACACCAGAACCAGATTATTTATATGCTAATGGCCTGCATAGATTAAACTTCATGAGTTCCATCAAAATCAACAGTCTATTCTTCCCATCTCAGTTATTTACAGACCTACAAACCTTCCTGATCTCCCCATCTTGCCCAGTGAGCACACCAATGTTTCCCATCTTCGCCATTGATACAGCAAAATCACTGGAGAAAAGATATGGGTTCATACTATAAGCCCTAACCAATGCAGCAGTTGTTGAGTCCCCCATTAATGCCTGATCAGATTCAAGAAGCCCTGTGCTCTGCATGAGGTTTGTGTAATATCCATTATCGAATCGGTAAACACTCGCGGTGTCGAGAGGAGAAAGATTGGTGTTTGATGAATCTTGATTTGGACATATGCTTTGTAAATTTGGAAGTGCAGAGGAATCAAGTGCAGGATCAGGCCGCCCAGTGCCTTTGTAGTTAAAAAGTCTATGCTTGAAGGTGAAGCATTGAGCAAAACCTACAGTATGTGCTCCTGTAAAAGAACGGACAAAATTCATGTCAATTACATTTTGCAAAAATGAGGTTTAGTAATGTTGAAATCACAGCCAAACACACGCAATAAAATAAAATAGAAAAATAAGTAGTACATTTGATTTACACCTTGCTTCATTCCGATTAAAGAATTACGTTCAGCATTCAAATAGAGAGTTTGTATTATTGTTTCAGAACTCTGCAGTAATTACACTCTATATTGACTGCAGTCTCACTCTCTCTATTTCTCTTAAACCCTTAGTTTCTCACTATTACGTCATATAATAGAAAATCCTACACCATTTGGGTTTACCCAAATCTAATTTAACTCAGGCTCAAATATTAGTAAAACAATAACAAGTCCAATACGCTGTCCCCTCACCCCCGTCCACTCACCAGGGAACAGGACCCTCGAATGCGTCTGCATAGGGGACTTTAAGCCCATGCAAAATATGAACCATATCCAACAACTACTGCTACAGCATCTAAAATTTTTCGAAAAAACACCATGTATAGAGAAGAGAAAGTGAAGCAAAAGAACCTGAGAGGACAGCAACATCCTTTATGTCAAGACCCTTTGCAATGAACTTGGCAGTGATGTTTTTCAGAGGCTCAATAGGGGATGGCAGTTCTGAATTAGCTGCTGCTTTATTTGCAGTTAATCCATCTCGTCGGCCTAATTGAACTGGCCAGAAGGGTCCTCCAGACTGTACCAGAAATCGGAGAATAACAGAAACAATCAGGTCATGAAAGAAAGAGTTCAACACAATTAACTATAAATCAAAGATAAATTACCTGAACAACAGCCTCTCTAGCTGCAAGAGCCAATATATCAACACATGAAACGGTTGATGGGCAAGCTTTTTCAACGTCTGCCTTTATACTGTCGATGACTTCATACCCGCGAACTGAATTCCGATTAGGTAAAGCATTTTTTTCTCCCTCCAATTCATCAGTGTCATCAAGAAGAATTGAGGCATCACAACCCTATGCAGAAAAAGAGAATAAAATAAGACAAGAACACTCTTAATAATGCATGCATTCACGGGGCCCCATATAAAAAATCTAATAAACCCGTTTCCTCTTAGTATAAGCTTAGTATTAACATAAAGCATTTACAGATTACAGCAACAATTACATTCACAAAACAATCATGGAAGTGCAACCGAAGAAGGGATGCAGCCATCCGGTTGTCGTTCCTGATAGCCGTCTGAACATCATTTGTAACAATCATTGGCAAATAGGGGCATGATCGAGCATAGAAATCATACGTGCCAAAGCCAAACCGGCCAGCTGAAGGAAAGGATGAAACAAGGGGTGGCAAACAGCAGATGAAAAAGAGAGGAATGGTGGAGAATGAGAAGAGTTTATGAGACATAGTTTTTTGCAAATTAAACTACTTATTTTGATGAACTCAAACGGAGGCATAATGGTTGATTTATAAGCAAAATGAATGGAGGGTCGAAGGATTTTCATTGGTTTAAGCTTGGAAAGTGGCCATGCCACTAATGGTGATCAGTACCTAATGGCCACGCTCAGGAATAATGCATAATTAATATTGCAGCAGCCATTTGATGGTTATAAGAAAATTCTGAATCAGAAATCTAATATTTTGATGACATTATAACTCATTACATATCCAAAGGCACCCTCTAGCTTCGATACCTAAATTTAGATATTCAATCTGCTTACATTCCCACTACAATCTCTAGTGGACTGTGACAACAGAGACGGCCATCTAATCTAAGCAGAATTTTATATATAAGATGAT